GCATAAACCAGGAGTAACTCCTGTGCATTGTCGGCTGTGACTCAAAAAGAAAAAAAAATGTGTGGGAAAGCAGTGTATGAGTAGGAATTGAGAGGTCAGGGTCCAAGAAAGCAAGGAAGGAAAGGCTCCAGGTTATATGAGTGCGGCGTGTGGAGTAGATAAGCGGTTCTTTGGGCTTTAACACAAGGTGTGATAAATAGAAAGGTCATACACCCTTTGAAACTAGATTTGCAATTTTCTTGAATTAAGAAATTGAGTTTATGAGGACTAAGGCTATTGTCATGTGTGAAGTTTGAAGTCCATTCCTTGGTGTTGCACGCATGCCCGTATGTGCACGCACACACAGCCCTGTGAAAGAATGAAAGAAAAAACAAAGCTTGCATTGCCAAAGCAATAGCAGTGTGTGATGTTTGTGAAAAAATGTGTTTATTTTAGATTATTAGATTGATTTTGGAGGGATTCGTGAATTGTAGTTCTAAATATTAAAAATGATTTTTAATAGGTATGTAAGACAGTGTCGAAGACCAAATCAGGCAAGGAGAGTATATCAGGTGTGCTAGATGAAAAGAAATTTCAGGAGAGCGTTGCCATACTTTGGAATATAGTGTGCCGTTCTTTAAGCCCTTTTGTTGCTACACTTTGAGCCAACTATATTAAGTTTTAGTATGTTATACACAGTTAAGCAACAGCATAATATTCACAAGACTGTTGACTTTAAGAATTCATTTAATGTAGTGTTTCTATTAGCAGTCTTCCCTAGCATATTTTAAGATTGTAGTAAGTTTTATTTCTAGACAATTTTATAAAACTTAATTTGCCTGAAGCAAGCACGTGGTTCATTTATTTTAAAAAAGGCAACAGCAAAAAAACAAGCTCAAAAGTAGGCTTCACTTTCTTACTATTTTATGACTTCAGAAATCATTCTGAATCCTCTTGATAGAGGGTTTACTACATCAGCTAGCAGTAGGGTTTAACATTAAATTTTCATTTTGATTAACTTGACTGCAATTGTTTCTTGGCTGCTTCTTTAGAGCCCACTGTGGAATAAAATTAAAACCAGTTTCATGATATAACAATTTAGTTGCAGAAAATGACATTTTCCCTTTTTTCCCTGTACAGCCGTGTTTTTCACTGAGTTCCCTGCTTATTCCCCATGGCTCTGGTTTTTCTCTTTTTCAAGACATCGTTTAGAGTACTGCCAGATTAATTTTCCTTAAGCAGATTGTTGGCCGTTCCCTTGTCCAGAAGCTTCCATTGGCTTCCTGTGTTGCCTTCTCATCGATCTCATCCATGGAGAGTGAAGCCACCTTCCTCCCCCACCCCCATAGAGTATCATCCTGTAGTATTGATCTTCTATTTGGAACTTCCCATCTCCACTCTAAAATCCCCTTTCTCATTCTTTGTGCTCATCTGTCCTACCTTATGCCGTGTTATATATGGACATATCACGAACATATCCCACGGATGAGAGTTGACCTCTTGAACAGAGAGACTAAGTCTATTGTTTTACAGGGCAGAACAAAACAACAAACTTGCACAGTGCTCTCCTTTCTTATCTCTGTTCCTGCACAAGCAGGTCATTGGATAACATGGTTCCATTCAACTTGTTCGAATGTTGATGGGGAGACAGTTGGGGTCACCGCTGCGTTGCATGGTGTTTGTAAGTTCGCCTTCTCTGTGACTGCCTGCACTTGGCTCCGGATCTCTGGCTTCCTCTCACATCCCAGAGATGGACTCACTGGGTGCATTGTTGTATCTCACTTGTCTCTGTCAGAGTGAATGTGGGTGTGAGTGCACCCTGCAGGGAAGGGTGTCCTGTCCAGGGTTGCTTCCTGCTTCCCCCTGAGCTCCCAGGATAGACCAGCCACCTACGACCCTGGGCGAGAATAAGTGCTTTGAGGAATGAATGAGCAGATGAATACAAATGACTGATTTGAGGTCTTTTGATGTTTGGTGATTTGTTTTGTGACCGGAAGAATGCTGCAGCAAGTTTCCTCTTATCTTTTTGCCTATTTTGGTAAAATTGCTTTCTTTACATGTTGTTGCATTGAAAGTCAGTTTTCAAGAAATTATTGGCAATGCTAAGTGAGAATTTTCTATGCTTTTTTCTTCTTTCCCCCAATAGCCCCTTTGACTTTCTAATGAATTCATATTTCCATCGTTCTTTTTGTTCAGAGAACACTGTGTCTGCTTTCTGTTGTGCGGTTTGCAGTCCCAGGCAGGGATTTTGTTGTGTTTACTGATGTGTGTCCCCAGTGCTGGGAACTGTGCTGGTCTTACTGGTTGAGTGAACAAGTGAGATTAGAAGTTGAGAGTCAGCTTCTTGCTTCATAGAATTCACTGACAGTTCAGCAGTTTTGAAGCCCATCGCAGTCTGGCATTGAGGGAGCCTGGAAGAGACAGGGGAGTGATCCTGAAGTCGGTTTCCGCCACCAACAAGCTGTGCCACTGCAGGATGTTTCTTGATTGCTCCGCATCATAGTTTTCCTCATTTGTAAAAGGATAATATGACCCAAATCACATAGTTTATAGAAGAATTAAATTTTAGGGAAGGAAAGCTTATAATGATAAACTTTGTAGCTGATATTTTTGTTGATGATCATTGTGGTACGGGACTTGGCCTTACACATCTTCCTTCATTGTCACCATCTGCACAACCACTGTATGAATCGCTGATTGTTGTTGCTTCTGCTCATGGGTGAAGAGAAGGTTCTTGCCCAGAATGACTGGGGGGTGGGGGGGGGGGGGCGGGGGGTGCGGAGAGCAGAGATTTGACGAGACCAGATCTGGGCAGGTGGGGGTTGGCAGTATTTGGCAGTATTGGTTGAGTGTTTTGGGGTGTGTGTGTGTGTGTGTGTGTGTGTGTATTTTGAGACAGCGGTTCTAGATTCCTCTCTCCTCCTCTGTCTCTCTCCCTCGCTTTCCAAACTCTTTCTCTCCCTCCATCCATCCCTCCTTTCCTCCCCAGCTGCTGTTGCAAGCTGGGTACCTTACACCTGTGCTATCTTCTCTGCCCTAACTAACATACTTCACAAATGCAGAGGGGTCCTGACTTACAGTGGCTCCCTGAATGTCTGCATGACTGATCCTTACAAAGCATGAGGAATGGGGGAGCTGCACCTGGCCCCCACACCACTCACTCTCCTCTCCTCCCTTCCCACAGTGAATCAAAGTCTCCGCTCCCCTCCGTCCCTTGCTAAGCAGGGCACCAGGTCTGTTTCTGCTTCTCTCATCCTACAGCCTCCACCTGTTCCTCCAATTAAAGGTTTTGCTTTTTTCCTCGCCACAGAGGTGTAAAGGATTCGTGGAGGGTTTGTGATTTAGATAACCAAGCTGATTATTGCAGCCATCTATTTTTTTCTTAAAATTGAAAGTACTAAAATTTTTAAGCATTTTTGAGGGATTTACAAATGCCAATTAAAACTACAGTTAAATTATCGATAGCTTTTTCATGTTGGAATAGATGTAATAGATGTAATAGATAGCTTTTTCATGTTGTAGAAACCGTCAAAAATAAGAGAGGTAATTGTTCTGCCTTTAAAAAGGCTAGAAACCTGAACTTAGTATTTATCAATTAGCCTAGGGTACATTTGGTTTCTGTACAGGAAGCTTCATACATACAAGGATGTATGTATTCTTTATACAAGAATCGTCCTTTTCAAGGGTTATCCTTTGAACATTTAAAATTATTAAACCAAAATTAATGCGATGGTTTATTAAGAAGTTTCCTTTAAATTTTATCAAGCAGATTTCTCTTTGAAGTAGGGTTGGTTCAGATACTATAAAAGCAGTTCAGAAAATAGTCAAGTAAAAACATTTTTCTCATGTATACTGTAAAGCTTCATTTTTATTTGGTTGGAAGTTTTGATAGGAGACTAGAGAAAACTTAGAAAGCCCTATAAAATATAAAGAGAAATAGCAATAGCACAGCGGTAGGTCGTTTGCCTTGCACACAGCCAGCCGGACCGAGCCGGGTTTGATTCCTCCGCCCCTCTCGGGGAGCCCGGCAAGCTACTGAGAGTATCTCGCCCGCACGACAAAGCCTGGCAAGTTACCCGTGATGTATTCAGTATGCCAAACACAGTAACAACAAGTCTCAAAATGGAGACATTACTGGACCCGCTCGAGCAAATCGATGAACAATGGGAGGACAGTAACAGTGACAGATATATTTAATTTTAATTACCTTTTCCAGAGAGGATGACCTAAAGCTTTATTTTTGATAGCTATCTGGCAGTGATTAAAAGCATAAGCTTTGGAATCAATTTGACCTAAACCTGAATTCCCTGCTTTAATTTGTATACTTCAACATGTTTCTTAACAATTCTGACAAAACCTTGAATATTCCCATCTAGAAAAGAGAAGCAATGTTATTTGCTACTTCATGTTACTTTATAATATGAAATAATATAGGCCATGCTTGTAAGTAGTGTCTGGTATGTTGTTAACACTCATTTGTTTTATTAACTTTGGAACATCATGATTTTAATAAAAATGAGGTACTGGAAAATGTTTGAATCAGAGGAAATATTTTCTTGGGATTCTATATAGAATTGTTAACTTGGTATTGCAATACCTTGTTTTGCTAGTTCAAAAGTGAACTTACCTTGGTGTGAATAGGTGACTTCTGCATTAATGAAAATGTGAATTCGTGTTTACTTGTGAAGTTTTGTTGCAGAGTATGGGCTGGAGCGATAGCACAGAGGTAGGGCGTTTGCCTTGCACGCAGCCAACATGGCTGACCCGAGTTCGATTCCTCCGCCCCTCTCGGAGAGCCCGGCAAGCTACCGAGAGTATCTCGCCTGCACGGCAGGGCCTGGCAAGCTCCCCGTGACGTATTCGATATGCCAAACACAGTAACAACAAAGTCTCCAATGGAGATGTTACTGGGCCCGCTTGAGCAAATCGATGATCAACGGGAGGGCCTTTACTTTACTTTTACTTATGGAGTAAGTAGATGCTAATTCTAATTTATTTTTAAATGATTTGCTGTTTTCTAGGAGAATGCATAGAGGGGCTTCGAGAGAATGACTACCTTCTGATTCACTCCTGCCGGCAGTGGACCACGATTACTGCCCACAGCTTGGAGGAGGGACACTATGTCATTGGGCCAAAGATAGAGATTCCAGTACATTATGCAGGTAATACTACTCAAGGCACGAGAAGACAGAAAGGGCACTTGTCTGTGCTAACTTTTTCCTCCACACTGGCAAAGTCGGAATCATGAGAAATCAGATGTGTTTGTATAGTCATTTTATCATTGAAAGTTCATTTCATTTTTTTTGTGGGAATTTCTGATGAATGTTTACAACTAAAACAGATTTTTAAAAATTTCTTCAATTTTTATTTATAATACATATAAGATGCAATGCTGTCACTAACAGTTTCAGGCATGCAGGATTTCAGCACCAAACCCACCACCCATGTCAGCATCCCTCCATGAATGTCCCAAGATTTTCCAGCTCTCCCCTTCTCATCTTCTAGGAGAATGTTTTTGTGGGAGAGGTTGGTTGTTCTGTGTTTCAAGGGTTGTTCCTAGTGACACTTGGGACCGACCATATGTGGTACCACGGGGATTGAACTATGGTCTTTGGTCCCCAAACTCTTTTATTAAAAGAAAATGATAGTTTGGGTCACATGCTTATAGTCTTCATCTACACATTTATTTTACTGTTATACTACCAAAGTGTCCAACACCCTTGGTCAATGTTCTTTAAAAAATTCTTGTTAGATATAAGATGATAACTTTGCAAGCACCAAGAATGTATCTGGACTTGGAATGACAGTCAGTAATTGTAGCCAACCTCACTGTCTCTGAGTAGTCTGGATGCAACTTGAGTATTGCTTTGTGAATGAATTGATGTCAGGATTTCACAAGATGCCCTTTCATAAGTGAGCACTGTGGCCTGGTTTTAAATGCAGTGAACTAGAAGTTGAGATACCTGGACAAGTCACTCACTGCAGCAAGACATTTAGAAATCAGGTGACCTTACACTTGAGTTAAATCAGGATTATAGTGGCTTTCTCACTTCACTCTGACTCCATTCATTCCAGCCATACCATCTGACTTAAGTTTTATGAATCACTCTATGTGCCAGCCATGTAAGGGGGAGTTAGGATGCATCTTTTGGCTTGACTGATATTCAGTAGTGGTGACTTTCAAGTGCCATCTTTAAAAAAAAAAAAAAAGAGAGATTTCCTCTACTTCTAGTAGTAATGGTTCATTATATAAAGGATCTTGATTTTTTCTCTATTATTGATTTTTTAGAAGTTTGTAGCAGGACACATTAATCAGTTAGCTATAAAGTGAGTAGCTCTAGACTGCCTTTATGTTGCTGAGTGATACTTTACAATGCCCACAGAGCAGCAAATGGTATGTGTTCAATTCTTATTGAATGAATGGCTTGGTGTCCGTGATCCCCCCACCCCCCACCCCCCAACATTGTTTTAGTAGCTTTCAGTTGTCTATATGGCCTGGGTATCACCAGGTTTCTCATGGTTCCTTTTTATACAAAAGCATTTTTTATGGCCTGAAGCTCTGACCTCTGGAATTCATATTTCCTAGCTATAGGAGTAGATTTCATGAAGGTGAGAAAAAAAGCAGATAGTGGTAGAAAGAATTGCAACTGTGAAAATGAGAGCCAGGCCAAAGGGATTGAGAATGAAGCCCCACCCCCTCCCCATCCGACCCGAGGGAAGTTCCCCAACACGTGAGATCCACAGGACTTTGGTAAGCCCAAACAGCTGGTTCCTATCTTTCCTGGAGTACTGAGGTGGAAAGTATACAGTTGTGCTTCATTCTCTTTATAGATAGTTTTAGTCTTTCCCCTAAACCTGTTATGAATAGTTCTGTCAGATTAATTTTGCCTAAGGGATGCTTTCATTTCATTATTTCATCACTTGTTTGGATGTCCTTAGAGACTCCAGTGTACCGCCAGACTGATGTGTTGCTTGTGGTTCTCCAGGGACTGGTTTGGTGTTTTTTTGTTTTGTTTTGTTTTTTTGTTTTTTTGTTTTTTGGTATAGTGGTCCAAAACATTCTCCCATGATTAGCCTTGACACTACGCTTTCTGGACTGACTTGATTCTTCACCATTTATACAGTTCCCCAGCTGGCCACAGTTGCCTCCTCAACCATGGTTTCCTAAGAGCTTGTTGTTGTGTCAGGAGGTATAAGCATCTCCTCCTATCCCTGGGTGTCTCTCATGTTACTTATCATGTATCACATTCATTCGGTGCCTAGTCTCAGTCTTCATTTGCTTACCTTTTTCTTCACACAAGTATAGCTTCACTTGCTTGTTGAACTATATACTTCTTAATTGGTGAGGTCAATTCTAAAGCACCTCTATGAATCTTTCAGAATACATGCATAAAATTGATGATACCAGGGCCGAAATGATAGTACAGCAGGTAAGAAATTTGCCTTGCATGTGGCTCACCTGGGTTCAATATTTGTCATCCCAAATGGTCCCCTGAGCCCTGCCAGGAGTGATTTCTGAGTGCAGAGCTGGGAGTAACCTTTGAGCATCCCTGGGGATGGCCCACAAAAAACCAAAGTAAATAAAATTGATTATCCCAGATGTTCAACTTAAGGATTTCAAATTTTCTTGCACATTGGGCTCATTCGAAGAATAGCTAAAAAGATAGTGCCCAGGTTCCATTCCTAGAGGATCTGAAAAATTGATCTTGAATGTGGATTTGACATAGATTATAAATTATGTAATTATAAAAGATCCACATATAGTTATATAGTGTTAGGGATTTTGTCAATGTTTTGCATCCTTGAAACTGTTCTGTTCATAGCCTAAGTGGCCACACGCAGCTCTGTCACATGCATTCTTAGGCAAAATTAATCTGACAGAACAATATCTATGTTCTAGATATTGCCAGCCTTCCTCTGATGCTCCCCATTCACCAGAGGTAAAATTCAGTGCTTTTAGGAAATCACAATTAACAGTGCTTTTAAAAATTCTGATATCCTGTGTCAGAACTTTACATGGAATTTCTCATGTGAAAAGAATTTCATAAAACTTAGGAAAAAGACAAATATCACTTCATGTTTTTATCAGAATCGCACTATGATATGGGGATAATAAGAAAGACCTTATCCTGAAGTCTGAAATTATTGGCTGTGTTTTGGGGGGAATAATACATTCCTCACTTGGGAAAAATAAGCTTTTTATTTTGGACAAATGAGTTTTCTTGGTATAACAAACAATAGATTGTGAGTGAATGTATTCAGTCAGCATCACATATTTTGCGAACAGAGGGAAACCACTCAAGAAAAATTGGCATAGTGTTAGGAAAAATGGTTGCTGTTTTCACACACATTTTACTTAGAAAGCATCACAGATAAGCTTGCATCTAAACTTCCTGACTTTTCATTGCTCCCCAAAGGGTAATGATTTCCTAAGAACATGTAGTATAGAACACAGAGATTGTTTTACGTTCAGAATACTCAGGCCAGTGAAGATATTGCCAGCCTTCCTCTGACGCTCGCCATTCACCGGTCAATTATTTCTCTGTCCTCCCCACCCTGCCTCCCCTTATTATTTTTTTTTTAATTTTTAAATTATTTATTTTTAACTAAATCACAGTTTAGTTAAAACAATGAAATGCAGTTACAAGATTATTCATGATTGGTTTCCGTCATACAATGTTTCAACCCCATCTCTCCACCAGTATATATTTCCCACCACCAATGTCCCCAGTTTCCCTCCTGCCACTCCCAACATGGCCTCTATATCAGGTTTCAAATTGCTTATTAATTATTGGATCACTTTAACAAATATTAAATCTATTTCTCTGTGTATGTTCTGCTAATCTATGTATTTCAACAAATTGATTAATATAAATTACAAAATTATGTTCATCAAATCCATGTAATTTCCAGATCATAGTTAAAAGTCCATGGGATCTGTATACAATCCTTTTTCACTTAGTTTATAATGTCACTGTCACTGTCCTCCCGTTTTTCATTGATTTGCTCGAGCAGGCGCAGTAACGTCTGTATTGTGACACTTGTTTGGAATATCGAAACGGTAACTTACCAGGCTCTCTGAAAGGGGTGGAGGAATCGAACCTGGGTTGGCTGGGTCGGCCAGGTTCTGCCCACCCTTATTTATCCTGACTTATTAAACAATAACAAAAAATATTATTTCTAAAAAATAGTAATGATAATAACAACAGGGAAAATTAATTATAACAAAAAATTTCTAAGGGACCAGAAATATGGTTTGGGGTGAAGGTACCTGTGCTTTGTTCTGCCAACCCTAGTTTGTTCCCTGGTACTGCATTTGGTCCCCTGAGCACTGAACCCTGAACACACAGTCAAGAAATAACCATTGAGCACCACTGGTGTGGTCCAAGCCCCACTTATCTCCCCCAAGCCCCCAAACTAAGAGTTTTTACACATGAAGGATTTCTATTTCACAGTTCATGTTTCTAGATAACCAGATTCCTTTTGTCTCTGCTGCGTAGTGTGGTCAGTCACTTGGCTGTCAGTCCAGCTCACTGGCAGGATTCCTCTTTAGTGCTGACCCACCTAAGATCCTAAATCTAAATTAAATTTAGTTCATCATTTCACATTTTTCCCCTTTCCTGTACACTCAAGCTCCACAACATCCTGGATAGGCCATTGCCTCTGGGATTTACTTATTTATTGATTGCTTTTTGAATCACACTCAGAGATGCTCAGGGGCTACTCCTGGCTCTCCTCTTGGGGGAGATGGGATGCCAGGGATTGAACCCCGGTCGGCTGCGTGCAAGGCAAACACCCTACCTGTTGTGCTATCACTCCGGCCCGCCTCTGGGATTTTATTTACTCTTCTAAACACAAAGTTTCCAACGTCAAAAATGGAGATTTACCTGAGAAATGCCATGAAGACACTTGGAGACCTAACTTGTGCCACTTACACCCCTGAGCCTGGAATAAGGAGTATTAAATACATGTCACCTCCCCATTATCATAAAACAGTTCCAAATGCTCACAATACTGACTGGGCTTTGTGAGCTCTCCAGATCTGTGGTTTGTCTCTTTGAGAGGTAGTGAAATTCCAACTGGGTTTATGAAAATTTAAATTGATGCAGTGCTTGCTGTCAACATTGGATGAACAGATTGCTACTTGAACATTAGCATCCGA